AGAAGATTTAGTCACAATGTACCCAAATTATGTACTAATGTAACTAAATAATTTGAAAATCAATTTTACCAAATCTATTAAAAACCCGGTGATACAAATCCGACCACATCAAACTATGTTTGAGCCCCAACTATTAATTTTGCTAATTCTCTTAAGCAAATCTAATTCCAGAATTTTCTCTGTTTAACTGATCAATTCCTGTTTCTTCTGAATCTTCTTCTTTCTCAGCATCTTGCTCGTTATTATCTAAATTATCATTCTTATTTTTTTTTTAAATTTAAGCTATTTAAAAATGCATTAATATTTTTCGGGTTTGGGTCAAAATCCCGACAAGCGAAATCCCGACAGGTCATGATCCCGACAAAAAAAATCCCGACAGCGACATCCCGACAATTAAAATTTTTGATAAAAAAAATATCATAAACCATAGCTAATCCAAGCCTACATCTAAAGTGACCTAACCCTAAAGTTAATTAAATTATAAGAGTCTACTTCACTTTAAACATATCACATATTTAGGATTTCTACCGATTGTCAGGATTTTTATTGTCGGGATTTTTGACTGTCGACCTGTCGGATTGTGCTTGTCGGGATTTTGACCGGCACCCATGTAGATACGAAGTATGTCTGCTTAATAACAAAAAAAATTTTTATTTGCATCTTCTAGAGGTATGCACCAGACAATATATACTAAATAAAAAGGAAAAAACTGTTAAGCAATTCTCACATTTATCTCATTTTTTATTTACATTCTCTTCTAAATATTGAAACTGAAAACGTTGAAGTTGGAAATTAGGGTCCTCGATTTAAAATTATAAACCCTACAAAAATTCATTATATAGTACATTTTATTATCAAAACTAACCCTAAATCCTAAGCTAACTATAAAAAAAAAATGAAAAAATGCTAAAAAAATGCACCAAAAATTTTTAAAATTTTCATATTAAGGTATTTAAATGTTCCAGTTTCAACCGCCACTATACCTCTTGTTTGTAAAATAATTTATATTAAATTGGCCCAAGGATCCTCAAAAAATGATTCCTTATAATATTGCTTTATATCGATCTGGGTTGCATCAATATTAGAACCGATCTGAGTTATACCAACAGAATCGTTCAATCGAAGTTTCTAAATCATGAAAGATTATAGGGTTAATAAATTTGTAACTATGGTTACTGTAACTGCATCCCATAAAACCAATCAATTTTCAAGTAGAGGCAAAGTCAATAAAAACTGCTTTTTTAAAAAATCTATACCGTACCGTTAAATAAACCCTGGCCCGCATTATGAAATTTTGGCCCGCATTGTAACAATTTTGATCAGCACTACATGCAAAAAAGGGTGCTTAATTTCAGAACGGTACGATAATAACTCAAAATTTTGACTATGAAACCATCTTTTATGATCTAACAAAAAAAACAAAAATTATTACAAAATTTTGGTGTAAGCTATGCCCTTACCATCCCTTAATCTTAATCGCCGGGTTTTATTTTTATAAAAAATTGTTAAAAATGTTGCAAGTATAATAAAACCAATTCTTTTACATATTTTTATTAATTTACTATTTCTTTCTATATACTTCAGTTTATATTACTATAATATTATTCTTCCAATTATGTTTTCTGTAAATTTGTCACAAGATATTGTTAATAAACAAAAAAAAATAATATTCTATTCTATATAATTATTATTTTTAAATATTAGCAAAAAAAAAACTAATTTTAATAACTTATTTGAGAGTGATAAGTCTTATATTATGAATCAAAAATACTGTACACCCATTTCTGTCTTTACTTTGACGAACTCTGAAACGTTTATGGCTTCTTAAATAAAAATTAACATCAGATCTTTATCTTTTTTTAATTTTAATAACACGGAATCATATAGTGAAGAATTTAAACCATCATCTAAACCGACATCAAGCAAAGATCGTGAAAATATGGACTTCGAAGTATCATATACTGCTGATGAGGTTTTAGGGATTGGGAACGAGCTTTAAAAAAACCATACAATAAATGTTAAATGCTTAGCTTATGGTATTATCGTATGTATATTAAGTTTTGTCAGTTCATATTTTTATAGCTTTCACGGTTTAGTCTAAGTTCCAAAAATATAAACAGTATTAACTTATCATGTGGATAATTTTATTTTATCGAGTTTTGTTGTCATGAGTATTGTCGTGCGTACTAACGAGTGACAACGAAACTGGTAAAAATTGTAGCAATTAGCAGCATAAAAAGATAAAAAGATAAAAAAAGAGCGAGGGGGGCACCGCTCGTAGAACTCTATGTGGGTTGCTAAGTAGCAGAAAGAATGTATATTTAATTGTCGAATAAAATCTGTCAAATTGATAGAATAAAAATCTGCCCAACCAAATATAGAATTGTTATGTAAGGAAATGGGCTTTCGTATAACTCGAAAAATCTGATTGGAACTTTCTTTTAATAACATTCTATTTAATAATTTTTGAAAGCCAGCATTCTATTACATAGATTATATTTTATGGACGTAATTTTTTATAAGTTGGAACTAAAGTAAGGTATATTTTATTAGAACGTCAGATATTATTTAAACGCAGCAAATGATGGCAGAGTCAGGTGAGATTCGACTTGAGAAACTACAAAGTATCATTCAGATAAGAAAGAAGACATAACAAGTTAACAGTGATATTTAGCAATATCAATAGCATTCTAATTTATCTCGTTTATCTCGTGAACACATGACAATGGCAGATGCACCAGTTGACATTGTACAATATCTTAGTACTGTCTTTTCAACCCTTCCCACTCCAATTTCAATCGTACGCCTAACAGGAGGAGAAATAAATTATGTTTATCGTGTATCCTTTGATCAGCCAATTGAGGAGTTTGCGAGTGCTCGCTCGGTAGTAATCAAAATATCATTAGGAACATTAGCCTCTCATCCTGAGGTGAAATTTGGACTTGAACGACAGGTGCAGTATACCCTTTTTCCACGATCCACATATTAAGATAGTTGATACTATTTCAAATTTAAGTTAGATGATTGAAGCACGTGCCATGGCCCTTCTTGCGCCTACCTCTACGGGACTTCCTCTGCCTATAAGCTTTCCAAATCCATATCCACACGTAATGACACCTTCACTTTATCATTATTCACCTCAAAACAATATTCTTATTATGCAAGATATGGGCTCGCACCCTGACCTCCAACAGTTCCTTCTGGACCGTGCGACAACCAGTCAAGATGCATGTGCTCTTGGTGAACTGCTAGGCAGCTATTTAAGCCAGTTTCACACTTTCACTAAAGATAATATCACTATGTTGACGCCATATTTCATAAACAATGCTGTGCGAACTCTTCTACAAGATGTTTTTTACTCTGCCGTCATACCTGTCATCTCTCTTACAACTCTTCCTGCTTCTCAAATAGCCCAGTTAGCCGAGAAAGCACGGCTTTTCGGGACTCAAGGAACACTTGACCAAACGAGTTCTACTGTTACAGAGGTGGTTAAGATGGGGGATCTTTGGCCTGGAGCGATTCTAATCCCACAAAGCCGAAAGGAACTAGTAATTTTAGACTGGGAATTTTGTGATATTGGTAATCCCGCCATAGAAGTAGGCCATTTTGTCACATTTCTCTATTTACTTGCAAATTTTCCACCACCAGAAATGGGTACTATGGAAGGAATGACTAATGCGAGCCTTTTCATGAAAAATTTTTTGCAAAAATATATCAAGAACTTTGTACCAAAAAATGCAAAGTCATTTTGGGAAGATATGCAGACCATAATCGGTGTTGATATTTTGATTGAAGCGGGAAAGGGAAGATGGTGTTCAATTGAATCATGTTCATGTGAAGGAAGGTGTTTACTTGTTGAAGAGGAAGGAGCCAAAAAAAAGCAAATTTGCGTGAAAAAAATCGTGGAAGTTGGAATTGAATTATTGGAGGGTAGGGAGGGAGTCTTAGAAAAGATATTGTGTATGGAATTAAACGTGAATTAACGTACGTAGACATCTCACATCAATGAAATGAAGTGAACTGCTGAACAGAAAAAACATCGTTTATACTATAAAATTTTTGCACTTATGCTAGGAATATGCACTTAATAAATTAGGTTGGAGACTTTCAAAAATGAGCGAACACCTAGTTTCAACATGTATTTAATATTTGTGAGACTAATATTTGTTTTATCGATATATATCTTTTATCTGATTGATAAGAATATTTAGGTTATCACTAAGTGGCAACAATATGATACCGTATTTGCGCGTAATAACGCGCATCTATGCGTTATTTGAGACCCTGCGCGTTATTTCGGGACGCACATGCGCGATAATTCGAATCATTTTGACAAATTCGGGTAACCTTATTAATGAATATGTATATTTAAGGGGGGCGTTATTTTGGGACGCACCTAGGCATTATTTTGTGATTTCGAAATAACGCACATGTGCGTTATTACGTGCAAATACGGTATTTTTTCTCAACTGATGTTAAAACAAGAAAACAAGAATAATTATTAGTCATATTAATTCACAAATTTGAAGTTTTGAACTAGTACATATGTATTAACATGTACAGTTTTCAAATCTTATTGCTAATCTATTATTTAAAACTTTAATAATGCTAAATAGCTGCAATATTATATTCGTTCATTCGTTGGGTCACTTTCGAATATGTTTAAGATTTAATGTCAAAATCTATATATTGCGTAATCTATTTAAAATAATAAATGTGGCAGCTGAATCTGAGGTTTTGAAATATTTTAATATTAAATTTTAAAAATTTTTTGGGGCCTTTTTGTCACCTTTTTTTTAGAGTTAGGTTAGGGTTTAGGGGTAGTTTATTAATAAAAGAGTACAAATGGATTTTAGTAGGTAATGTAGATTTAAATAGAGAATCCCAATCTCAGCTTCAGCCGTTACAATAAATTTATACAAAAATAGCTGCTATATATTATAATTTACCGACAGTGTGATGTAATGACCAGAATCGGAATAATTTTTTTTTGGATCAAGAGGATCAAGGGAATATGACAGAATTATTATTAAAATACAACGAAGGTTAAAAGGTTTATTCGTACTGGTATATTGATTGTTCTTTTTTTTAAATTGATTTTATTGCACTTACTAATTTCAAAAAGGAAGTAAGATCAGGTGTACCGTGAAGATTAAAAAACAATCTCGCTTAAGAAATTACCTTTTGTGCATTAACAAAAAAAAAAAAAACAATGTTGCCCGTTATGGCGCTTTGCAAAAAGATGTGACCCCATCATTTTCATGATAATGGTCTATCGATCATATTTTTCAATCGGCGACACCTATCGCTATATTTATTTGAATCTGTAAAATTCTCTTAGAATAGGAAAATCGCCTGATTTTCCGTGATTTATATAACATCATGATTTGCAAAGGCCACACCTTGCAGATGTAACAACCCGATTTACTAAGTATACTCAGGAATGATATCTCCCATTGGACATTTTCATATATTCCATAATATAATGCCCTTGCTTTCATATTACTAGGGCGGTATCATTTGTATTATAGTTATGAACCGATGCACAGGAAATTCATAAAAATTTTCCAGATTTCCAGAATTTTCAAATCCGCGATTTACAAATCATGGTGTTGTGTAAAATCACGGGAAATTAGGCGATTTCCTAATCTAATAAATATAGACGTTGCTGATTGAAAAATATGATCGATAGACAATTTAGAATCTTTGAAGTTTCTCGCTGTCTTCACGAAAATCACGGAGTCACACCTTTTTGCAAAGTGCTATAATCGGATCTTCAATTTTACTAATCAGAATTTTTCGGTTCTTCGATTTCTCACATAGGTATATGAAAATCGTTGTTCACACCTTCTTGAAACATAGCTGTAACATCAATTACATCAACTGGAAAAGCCAAGGTATTATGTGAAAATCGGCTTATTGCACTTGGAGTT